AATATAAATCATACTAGAAACTGCAAACCATGATTACATTCCACACAGGCAGTATCTCAAGATCTTTTTTTTTTTTTTTTTTTTTTCTGAGAAGCTGAGCTGTTTAATCATCTCCTTGGCCAAACTCAAGGCTGTGGTTGCCCCTGAACAACGCACACCTGGAAGCCATTCAGAGCAGCTGGAGACGTCATGGCCTTGAGTCAGAGGATGAGGATGAGCAGGAGAGCTTTGGTGCCTCTGACTTGTCATCCGTGTATCTCAAGATCTAAAACACTGTGCAGCTGGAGGAGGCACTGCTGTACAGAGGCATTCCTGAGCACTGTTAGAGACCTATCCCTCTGTCTCCCTTCTCTGAAGTCTACCCCTTAAACCCTCACCTGGCACTCAGTCTATATTGGGTCAGGGAGTCCATGCCCTCTCAGGGTAGACCCAGTACCACTTAAGTGCCCACACAGTGGATGCCTGGACCCTAAAAATGTCACATAAAATGTCAGAAATTATAGGGGTAATCAGTAGGTTCAAGAAGGTGGGGGAGATGGAGAGAGAAGCAAAAGGGCATATGGCATATTTTCAGGTTGTTTTAACTAAAAAAAAAGCATTGACCAGGGAGGCCTGTTAAGTACACAGTGCTAATGTCACCCAGGAGGAGCAGGGAAGCTGTGTAATTTACCTTTCGCACCCAACACACCCTCTTCCCCTACTGCATTATATGCTAGAAAGAGCCACTCCCGCTGGATTTGCCATTCACCGTTGATGTGGTGTAAACAGTCTTCACAGCAAGGTTTCGGATAATCCACCTAGCCCACAAACAAGCCTTCACCACAAAATCCTAAGTTGAATTGTCTTTAGGACACCATCAGGTCAGTACAGGTTCATAATCCCTTATGTGTGACCAGATGTGGTTTGAGATTTAGAAATGTTTGAATCTTAGAAAGGCAATGTGATGCTCACACTGTACATTACATACCATCCCAGCAGGGTCTTCTGGGGCAGCACCCTGCAGCAAAATATATGAATATTCACACTAACAAAGACTATAATTGGCTTCCCATCCCCTCGTCAGGCATTGCCACTAAATTAGTCTGGAAAATATTTCAATTTTCAGAGCTTTGGGGATTTCAGAACTGCAGATAAAGGATTTTAGACCACCATCTCAATCTTTTGTATCATCGCTTTTACGAATCTGCTTTAACTTTGATAAATTATAGATATGGATTCTAAAAGTAAACATGAATATTCAAGCAGTGTAAAACACAGTTGCTCTATTCCCAGATAACTAATCTATTCAAAGTTCAAAGTATATAAATAAAATCAATATTTATCAAGGCAAATGAAAAGCCAGAAGATTATAAGTCAGAGAAATCAATTTAGTTAACACATATTTATGGCATACTTAAATTTACTAGAAATACAGACTTCGAGCCCAATAAATCAGCATTTTTACCTTCTAGGCATTATGCTCTTTAATAGCTCTATGAGAAACCGTGATTATCAACCTGTTTCTCAGGAAAACAAAATCAATAACATGGTCACTCCAGGAAGAGTTCAATTACAGGGGGTGAGCCAGAAATCACAGGACAGCTTATTTAACCTCACGGGCTCTGCTGAACGTTTCTAAGACTTCTCTCTTCTCAGAACAGAAGTTAGCCAGCCAGACACTGTGGTGTAAGGGTTTCCTTCCAACCCTCTCACAGGAACCCCTGTGTGTGCAGCTGTGTCTGGCTACGGCCTTTCCACCTCTTCACCCCCACAGGCCTCCCCCCACCTCCATTTTATACCCTATCCCTGAGTTACTTTAGAAACTGAAGCACAGAATTATGTGATTGCTTTTTAAAATCCACACAAAAAAGTAATAAAATTTCTCTCAGTCTTGGTCAGCAACCTAATATTTTAGAAAGCACTTTCATCTAGGTTCACAGTTTGCTAAATATAAAAAATTATGATTCAACAGGAAATTGGGTAAGTCAAGCAAGAATTTCAGCATGTTTTTGAAGATTTTGCTGTCTCAGTGGTTATAGCTGTTAACCACAGCTTTGAGTTCTGGACCCAACAACCTGAAACAATGTTTGGATTGGCTGGTGTTTTTAGCATGTAAATGTAAAATCCTTAGCAACAATGCTGACTCGGAAATTAGAATATCTAAGACTTCCTGAGTATTACAGAAATTCCCATGTGCCACAAAGGTCATTTTACTGATAAGAAATTAGTTTTGAAGATAAGGATTTTTCTAACCTAATATTAATTTGATGTTATAAAATTTCATGTGTACAAAAAAAAAAAAGAGACAGAGAACAAACAACTGTGTACCCACAACTAGTTTGGTCAAATATTAATATTTTGCCTCATTTTTATCCTTTCCTTTATTTAATTTATTTATTTATTTGGCAGCTGGCCAGTACAGGGATCCAAACCCTTGACCTTAGTGTTACCCTTTATTTTAAAGAAATGAAACATTATAGACATAGTTGAAGCCCTCTGCCCACCTATTTGTCTCTTCCCTTTCTCTCGGGGGGTTACCCTCACTCTAAATTGGATGGTTTCTGTTATCAGGCTTCACTCTCCATGTTTGCCACACAGGTCTGTATCCATAAACAATATGTTGTTGTTTTTGCAACTTAATTTTTTCATCTAATTTACGTTTGTACTTATTCCACTCAATATTATAAATGTACATTAGTACATTTTTCTTACTGCAATATCCTATTGCATAAATATATTTTGTATCATTTCTAGGCTGTGGTTTATATTGTTCTATGTTTTCTCAAACAGTTTAAAGTCCCAAAGAGCTGTCTTAATATAGTTAATAGTTTTACTTAAGTGATCAATGATTTTTGAACTCAAATTTTGAACCCAAGATCTTTGTTGATGTCAAGTTTGCAACTTTCCACATGCTTTTAATTTCTGTAAAAATCATTAAGACTGTAACCTATAGATGTCTGAAGCATTAGAGCTGGGCAATGGTAAGAATAGGAAGACCGTTGTCACAGCAATAACAACTTTTAAAAATCAATGTTGATCTGCGACCAAACTGGACAAAGTTCCCAGAGTTTTCGAATAGTGAGCCAACATTAGACATCTTCAGTACAAACGTGTTCCCACGAATGGAGGGGCTGTGGGTGAAGGGGTGGGAGGACTCCCCGAGCACAGCCCTCACCTGGTTTGGTTTGTGGCCTGCTCAGGTCCGAGCTGCTAGGGCATGGTGAGGCCCTCACACGCCTCTTCCCCTGGTCCCTAGGAGGAAGAGGAAAACACAAAACACTCAGCACAAATGCCAGAGCATTGCTATTTTTGTAAATGACAAGAGTCTGCTGTATACAGTTTCTGAAGAAACCACAGAGAATTGTTTCTAAGATGCGCTTTGGTGCCCTATATCCTGTTTTAATCAACCTTTGATTTCCAAGTAAGACTTACCTTCTAAAAACAGGTCATATTTGCTTAACAATATGACATACAATTACTATAAAGAATAAAAAAAAAAAAATCAAAAGTTTACTTTGCAAAAAAAAAAAGATTAAGTATATAAACCACAAGAGGTCACTGTTACAATAAGAAAGAACTCTGATATGCTTGACTCACAAAAGCCTAGCTTTGGGAGCTGGGGAAGACCTTCCTTCTCTCCCTGTGGATAAGGAAACTGTGTCCCAAACTGGTCAGATGTGCCCAGGTCACACAGTAGGGTCATAATTTACAAATTCACTGCTCTTTCCACTGCATCACAGTATGCCATTTCCATTTAAAAATTAAATTAGAAATATTTGAAGTGTTAAACAATTGAACAAATTCAGGCAGTCCCCACATGCCAAACATTTAGTATTCCAAATAAAAGAGTGGTGGCCCCCCAAATGGCAGGATTATACGCTCAGTTGTTCTAAAGTTACATTTAATGTACAGACCCTCTCTGAAGGATACAATTTCCCTTTAGCTACACCTGATACTTAAAATTACTTACTTTTAAATCTCTGTACAAGATTCCAAGGTAAAAAACACTGAGAAAGAGTGCAAGTTTCATAGCAAAGTTTCTTTTTGGCCATCAAATATAATATTTGTTCCCCAAATCACCAAGAATGCACATACATGCAGCCATGGGCACCATGAACACCCATACATGCAACTGTTGCTCCTGCTTCCTGTGCAGTGCCATCCGCAGTGAATGCTCAGTGGGGTGTCTCAGCCCTAGGCCTTTACTACTGTCCCGAGGATTAGCTTCTCCAAATATTATTTTTTTCTACAAACATGTTCTTTTTTTCTAACACTTGATTTAATACTTCCTCTCATCATAAAACAGGGAAAAGATCAATCTAATTTTCCAAAAAATGTCTAATTATTTCTCAGAAATAGTTGTTTTATTTTTGTACACAATAAAAACATAGATCTGGTAGCAAGATGTCCCTAGCCAATCAAAAAATATGGGGATGGAGTCCTCTCAAAGAAGGCAGAAGTAGAGGAAGTCAACCATATGCGAAGTTCCTCGGCCTCACACCCTGTTGAACTTTCAAAACAGGGTGTGAGGCCGAGGAACTTCTCTTATTTATCACTCCTAGAAACAACAAAAATTTGTGAGAATAGAGGCAAGGCCTTCCTTTCAATATATACTCCTTTCCTAAACAACTACTGAAATCAGGCAAGATAGTTTTCAAGTAATGGCCTTGCAAAGTCTCTGGTCCATTCTCCCTGAGGTCATAGCCAGTGACAGGTTGCCTCTATAAATACCACATTTATGTATCCCCACTTCTTAAAAAAAGAGAAGGAAAAAAAGAAGGATCCTTCTTACATACAAAAGCTCGGCAGTCCTACCAGTTCTCCAGAAGAGCACAGGACTGGACTAGCCACCACTCTGTGTGATCACCCTGGTGTGGTGGTTGAGTGTGCCAGCTCTGAGCCCGAACTGCCTGGGTTCAAACCTTGGGTCCAACTTTCATCACCTCTGTGACCTTTGTCAAGTTACTTGGCCTTGGCTTCCTATTCTTAATCGAGGGCTATGCCTCTGCTTAGTACAGTGACTGACACATTGAAAGAACTTAACAGTCAGTATTACTTTTTTCTCTTTCCTTCTGTCAACAAGCACCTGTCTGAGCAGTCCAGTGCTGGATGTTATTGAGCTCAAGAATATGTAAGGCATTGCTCTGATGAAGTTTAAAATCTACTTTTAGGAACTAAGGAACTATTTTTTAAAATGGAAAAGTCCAATAGAGTCTCTAATTAAGTGTTAAATGTGAAATTCAGCAGGTTACAAGAACTAGGGAGATGGTGAGAAGGAAGTGATTAGTGAGTGGGAGAAGTGGATTATAAAGTGGGTCTTAAAAGAATAAAAGTTGAACCAGCAAATGACAACCCTACTCTCAGAAGAAGACTAGCCTGAGTGAAGGAAAGGGGCATGAGAAGCCTGATACTCGGGGCGGGGGATAATCGCACAGCACTAGCAAGACAGGCAGAGCGGTTTCTGCTGGCAAATATTGGAAACAGCGCCTGAAACTTTGGGCTGAGTAAATAAACCTGATTTGATGGGGGGTAAGGAACTTTCATAGGTTCTTAAACAAGGAGTGTGGGATTTGGGGTTATACAATGACAAGAGTATTTAGGAGACTTGGAGAGCGGTAACAAGGACTAATCTCTTGAGAGTGACAATGGGACTGGAAAAGAAGGAACAAATTCAAGAGATCTTATAAATGAAAAGTTGATAGGATTTGGTGGTTGATTTCAGATGGGGGAAAGGACAGAATGTAGACCTGGAGAAACAGGATAGCAGGGTTGCCATCAACAAAAACAGGAGGTTAGGCACGAGAACAGCTTGAAGCAAGTCTGGGTTTTGCCATGTTGAGTTTCTGATGAAAAATGGAGCATCTGCGAAGGAGATACGGAAATCAGGAAAAGGGCTCCGTTAAAGATCAAAGTAGCACACAGGAACCAGAGTCATTAGAAGAGTGGCTCAAACTTTCGGAAGGAGAGAACAAACCTAAGGATTCTAGAGATGCAGGGAGGGAGGGAAGGGGTTTGGGAAGTGATAGGTCTGGCAAAGGACATAGAGAAATATCATGATTTGTAAGAATGAATATGCTAATAATAGATTTAAAAATTTTTGAAAAAAAGAACAGTGGCTCACAGACTACAGACTTGGGACAAGGCCTTGTCAGATACTCACGGGTAAAGGACAGAAAAGGGAGGAGTCCAAAGGAATGAGAGAAACAAAATACGCCTTCATGCAGTCCAAGCATGTTGAGAGCGAAGACTTGATTAACACATCATAGAAGATGAGGACTGAGGAAGAACTGTGCAGCCTGGCCAGGGCAGACCTCACAGGGTTTCCATGCAGCAGTACCACTGAAGTCCCACGTAAGAGCGAATGGAAAGAGAGGCATCAGGAAAAGGAAATCCCCCCTGGGCAAGAAGAAAAAGAATAGATGGCTTTGTATACTCAAGAGAAATGTCTCCCTGTAACGTCTACTCATTGGTCTTGATTCTGTTCATTGGAACCACAAGAAACAAGTCTTTATCTTTCTTCCTCTGACAATTATTTAAAGATGCTGCGTTCACCACCTAAAGTCGTCTCCTTCGGTTTACATCCTGTGATTCTACCACTTATAGCTGTGTGACCTTGGATAAGTTTTTTTAACTTAAGCTTTGGTTTTCTCATCTGTATACAAGGGGGTGGTAATACCCCTAACTTAAGATTGTTGTGGGGATTAAATGACATAATGTCTAATTGCTTAGCACAGTTCCAGGTACATAGCAAGTACTCAGTGTTTACTGTTGTCGCTGTTGTCATTGCTGATGTGATGAACAAACTCCTCTCACTCCTTCAACTGTTCCTTATATTTCAAATTTCTGCCACACTATTCAGTTACTCTGAGTGACTGTCAATTTGTCTGGATCACTTTCAAAGTCTGGAACCCGGCACTGAGCTAAAGGTATGGCCCGAGGAGCAAAGGGGAGATATTCTAGATAATGTTGTCTAAAACTACATTAGCGGTTTTGGTAGTCACATCACGGTACTGGGTGATTCTTATCTTTTCTCACATGTGCAGCTATGGCAGATTTTCCCCAACCATGTTGGACCTTTTAGTTGTTCTTATTTAATTCCACCGTGTTGTATATTTGGCAAAGGGTTCGGGCTTATCAGATGTTTTTAGATCTTGATTCAGTCATCCAATGTAATTGTTCTTCCCAGTTTTCCATGTTATTAAAGACCATAATTAAATATTTTACAATGATTTTTGATGTGCCAATAATAAAACAATTCCAGAAATTATTACTTAAAGCTCTTCCGTGAAATTCTTCTTAGAGGCAGAACACCATCATTTTATTTGTTAAGATATCTCAATCCACAAATAACAAAAACCAAATTTTGACCGACTTAAACAACTGATGGAATTTACTGGCTCACATAAACCAAAAGTGAACAGGTAGGGTGGGTTTCAGGTATGGTGTGATCTGAGCTTTGGCTCCATCTTTCTGCAATTCTCTCAGCTCTGTCCTTCCCTCAGTTCCTTCTGTAATCAGGTTGGAGACCTGATGAAAGCAAAAAAGGACACAACATCCCCAGGCCTCTCATCTTCATGTTTCAGAGCAAAAGCAAAGTCCTCTCTTCTCAATCATTGACAAGAGTCCTACATTTCACTTTGAACTTTGTTACTGCTGCATGTCCATGAATCAATCACGTGAGCAACATCTACCTCTGGACCCAAAGAAATAAAGGTGTATTTCTTTTAAAATATTATAAAATTCTGACTTTGCTATAATTCTGACAGTTCTTCCAGTTATTATGACTAAGGTTCTTTGGTCAGAGGTCAGCAAACTTTTCCGTAAAGGACCAGATAGCCTATATACATATCACACTTTGTGGGGCAACTGGCAAAATCTAGGGTCTTATGCAGGAATTTGCAACCATATAAAATGTAATGATTTAAAAATATATAAATCATTCTTAGCACAAGAGCTGTAAAAAGACAGGTGGATGGCCAGATTTGGCTCCTTGGCTACAGTTTGTTGACTCCTGCTTTACAGCAATAACCAGAAAAATATTAAGATGTAGATTAAATAGGAGGATTTGGGATTAAGGAAAAAACAATATATTTAGTTGGAAAAAAATACAGTAAGGGAATAGAAAATTTTAAATGATGCTTACAGATTTTGAACTAAATTTTTCCTTCCCTAAGATAGCAATAACCAGAAAAATATTAAGATGTAGATGAAATAGGAGGATTTGGGATTAAGGAAAAAACAATATATTTAGT